TTTCCAATTTTTGCCAGTGATTAAATTAGCCTCTCGGATTCCAAGGTCAGAAATGAACAGTATACCCAACAGTAAAGCAAGCAACGCTTTATTAAAAGAGGAGATAAGACTTATGCATAAGGAGGGTAGCAACAGTAAAGCTAGCCGCCCGAGGGGAGCTGTTCAGAGTCTTATAGGGAAAGGAGTTAAGGGGTATAGGCCAGCGTCACTGGAGGTGGTCCATTCTGTTGTTCCTGGTTGCGTCATGGGCGCATGCTCAGTGGGTCCAAAATGGCAGTGGTGTTCATCATTGTCACCCCAGGAGGGTCATTGTAGGAGTCACTGTGATGCTTTGTGCACAGGTGGGAATTCCTAAAGGGGTCTTAAGGTTAATATGTAACTTTTACAATTATAGTAAACAAGCCTTGGGGAGGGGTTTTGCACTCAGTAAATATCTGTTTCCTCTCTTATCTCAGTCTATTTTGTTAGGGTAGCCCATGGGGTAATCATTTGCCCTGGGGGTCTCATGACTGAGGAATGGAAAAATAACAGTGTCCTCTGCAGGGAAAATGGAGTCAGTTTGGTTCACAGGCCTAGCCTTACTATTTCACAAATACCACATATATGAATGATTCTCGCCTATAAAACTTGAACTTGATATTATCAAGCTTTTCAATCAAATTACCAGTTTACAGGAAATACAGAGGACAGAGGAAAAAGTTAAACAGCACCAAGAGGAAAAAATCAGCCAAATCCAGAAAGTGAGAAATTCTACAGGGCAAATGACAATTTCGCCAACAAATCAACAGCATAAAAAAAGGCAATGGTGCAGGGAAGAGGGCTGTTATAGACTAAAAGAGGCTTAAGAGGCCTAACAAGCAAATGTTTAACTGATTTGAAGAAATCGTGTAAAAAGATAATTTGGGAAGTTGGAATATGTACTGGACTGGATATTAGATGATATTAAGGAATTATTTCCAATTTTTTAGGTGTGATAATATGGATTTAAGGGTTTTTTTAATGTTCTTAATAATTAGAGATGTAATTTGATGTAAGGGCAAATTATCTCAACATGTCTGGGATTTGCTGTAAGATACTTTACCAAAATAAAATAAACCAAAGGGGTATGTAGTATAAGTGAAGCAAGATCTGAAAATTGGTAACTTTTTAAGCTGGGTGATGGGTACAAGGAGGTTTATAATACTCCTTTCTACTTTTGTGCACATTTGAAAAATTTTGTGATAAAAGTAAAAAAATAAAAGTGAATGCCAAAGACAAAAATTGCTTGTGTGAATTCTTATCTAATTGCCCTCTCGCATTAAACAAATGATCTGAAAGTAAAAACCCTTCCCATGGCCCACAAAGGCCTGTGATCTGACCCTGGCCATCTCTCAGGCCTCATCTTCCTTTCTTCTCTATTCCAGCCATCCTGGCACCCTCACTTTCTTAGAATGTGCCAAGTACAGTTTTACCTCAGCCCTTGTGTTTGCTTTTCCTCTGTTTAGAATTCTTTCTAAATAGATTCTGTCTGGCTGGCTTCCTCATTTCCTTGAGGTCTTTGTTCTGATTTTGCTTTAACAGAAAGGTCTGCCCTGACCACCATACATAAAATAACCTCCCTCCTCCAGTCACTGTCCTTGCTTACTCTGAAGTTTTTTTCTTTCATGGCAGTTCATACCACCTGCTGCATTTATCTGTGTGTTTATTGTCATTCATTCCCAAGAGTGTTAGCTCCAAGGTGGCAAGGCTGTTGTCTGTTTATTCTTTGACAGTTGTATTGCCAGCACCTATAACAGTGCCAGGAAATTTGTAGGTACTCAGTAAATATTTGTGAAATAAATGTAAAAAAACCTGAAGCTGTGTTTAATAGTTAAGTGTCTCCTTACCTCTCCCCAGTTGTTCTGCTTACCCTTCACTTATATTCTCATCTTGACCTAGGAGTAAGTAGTGAAGGATTGTCAAGAGCCTCACTCCTCATTCTAAAACAAAACTGCAAGGTAGAAAATATAAAATAGCAGGGTAGCTTATTACAGGAAATACTGAAAAACTTACATTTCAAATTTGTTAGGCTTATATGCATCCAATAATTTGGAAAGATTTTAGTTTTAATTTATTTTGTTGACAAGTAATAGAGAGCTCTCTGAAATAGTACTTTTAAACAGTTGGCATTCTGATTATTTTAAAATATGTATCATAGAAAATATAGAAAGATATCATGAAAAAGTTACAGTTTTTATATTGCCGAAAGTTGGCAAAATATCAGTGATTGAATTTAATGCTTATTGCACATGTCTGGGGGTTCTAATTAGGCAGCAGCAATGTTTGACTAAGTAAAAAAATAAAGACATCCATAATTCATTAAAAAATTCATATGTATCACAATATTTCTTATTTTCAGATAAATCCCAGGATAAAGCTCCTCTGATAAAAATGTTGCCCTTGAATTTGCCAAATTGAGTATTTAATCTATCAATGTAATCTCAGTATTTATGATAGGAATCAATATATGCCCTTTGTGATTAAAGTCTCAATCTAATTCATTTTAAAAGGAGTTTGATTTTTTCCCCTCCAAATTTTGCTTTTTTGTTTACCTTCCACTTTGTTTATTGCTATTACTTAATTTGCTTATTTGTCATATCACTTAGACAAATTATTTGCTTATTTGTCATTATATCACTTAGACACATCACTTATTAGTCAGGGCTTTGTGGGGACACATTAGACTATCTTAGATGAAAGATAGAATTTATTATAGAGGTATTAGGTTTATAAAGTAATAACCAAACCATGAGCAGCAGGGATGCAACTGGTCTTTATAGATAACGTCAATGCTGTCAGCTTACTCTTACAGTGGGCTTCATTCCCCTCTTTGCAGATTGTCAGGAAGCATAATCCCCAGCAGCTCCTTATAGCTCTCAGGAGGATGTTGTCTGCTCAGTTTCTGTATAACCCTGAACCAATTAAGTGAGGTCTGGGGGATGACTGTGGTCTAGCTTGGTCAGATAATCAGGAAATCAGAGTTACACAAGAACATGATTGTCCTCACTAGCTGGATATGGATAGAGGAGACAGAAAAGGGAGACATTTACAACAGACAACACATTTAGCTTCTACTAAAGTTAGCTCATAATATCTATGTATAATTGAAACAGAACACTGTATTCTGTCGTCTGATAGAAGAAGAATAGTGCAATAATTACTTCCCTTGCTTTGGACAGTCTTCTACTTAGCTTTAGGCTTTGCTTCAGCAGTGAAGTCATACTTATGGCTTATATTGAGATACTTAGGATTACTGAACTTTATTTCATTATTCAATTATTACCACTCAGTAAGCCTGGAAGAGGAAATCAGAGACAGATTCTTCATTCAGGGAAAAGAGTGATGGTTGCAAGGAGAGAAACATATAGTACTGTAAGCAGGAATCCTAATGACAGAACACAGAGCTCCTGGAAGGTTGGAATCATTTCTCTTCTTGTTTGAAAAATGAGGAAGGGAAGAGAGTGGAGGTACTAGATGGCTAGAGGATTAAGGATACTGTGTTTATATTGGACGTGTTTCATGAGATCTATGGCATGGCAATACCAAATCCTTTAACCAATGATATCTTAATGGGCAGTAAAACTGCTTTGCATCTATCAGAAGATATAGTCTTTATCTGATTGTGGCAGGAAAAGTAGCACCTATGATTTCATTGCTATCTTTATTCTTCAGTCTTGATAATATGGCATTCTTTTTCACTAAACCTGTCAGCCCCTTCCATACACACATATATACACATAATACAAAGCATTCTGACTTGTCCTAACCCTCAGATTTTCCCCATTTTCTTAAAGGGATGTTTTCTGTCTAAGAATACTGACATATTAGGAAGCGTAAATATGAATTTGGATTCCCATTGCATAGGGGGTGGGGTGGGGTAGGGAGTCCTCTCCTCCCTCTGTTTTGGAAGTTATAACAGGAACCATATTATGGGTAAAAGTCTTGTAATCTAGCACTTCCAGAAGTAAAGGAATTTGTGTTGCTCTGTCCTATACCAACTTTGATACTGTAGTAGACTGCAGACATATCTTTGGAGCAGATATAATAGAGAAGACACTTATTCGACTACATGTAATTTTGTCTAGTAGGAGCAGAGGAGAATGATTAAAATAAAAGTCATTATTTGGCCCTTGCTGGAAAAATTAATGTAATGGATTGTTTGGTTGACATGTATATGCATTGCTTTTCCTCTTTTATTTGTGAGGGTGTAGGAAGAGAATAAAAAGGCTTGTATAAAAAATATATGATCCCACCATCCAGAAATAACTACTCTTAGCATATTGACATATATTCTTTTAGATTTTTGATAGTTTGTATGTTTAACAGAATTGGGAACATATTCTTTTTATATATTATTTAACGTAAGTACTTTTAGCAAGGTATTTTTCTTGGTACAGTAAACATGTAACAAGTTTCAAAATGTAATTGTATTGAATTGTTCTATGCAGTAAAGATAGTAAATTAATTTATTATTACATATTTTGTAAAGATGAGTACCAGTAAAAAGAAATATTGGTTGACTAAACACAAACTTATAACAGTTTGAAAATCTGGAATATTTATATTCTTAGGTAAATTTGGATGTTTTTATAAATTCTGTCAGCCCTCCATATCTGTGGATTCCACATCCATGGCTTCAACCAACATGAATTGAAAATATTTGGGGGGAAAAAAGTAATAATAAATTATAAATTAAGAAAAACGGTATAACAACCATTTATATAGCACTTACATTGTGTTAGGTATTATAAGTAATCCAGAGGTGATTTAAAATATATGGGAAGATGTGTGTAGGTTACGTGCAAGCACTACACCATTTTATATAAGGGACTTGAGCATCTGCAGATTGTTCATATCTGAACAATCCCCCAAGGATACCGAGGGACAACTGTATAAGGTACTATATGTTAGAGAATTTAAAGTTGCTCTTGCATAAATGTTTGAATTGTGATTTTTTATTGTGATTTTGTTTTTCTTTCCAGATCTAAGTATTTTAGAACATGCTCAAGAGGTGAGCACTTAACTATAGAGGTAAGTAGAGTCATGAATTTGACTGGATTAAAAGTACCTTCAGAAGAACAGAAAGGAGTTTTTTGTTTTTGTTTTTGTTTTTGTTTTTAATTAAGGGGGAAGGATCTAGACCCAAATTTAGTATGGACTCCTTAAGTGTCAATATTGTTGATGCTAGTGAAGAAGGAAAGAATTGCGGTGGGGCAGAGGCGAGTAATTAGTTTGTGTAAGGTTAAGCTCCTAATCTTCCAAGTTTGTTTTTGTTTTTTGTTTGTTTGTTTTCACCCTACACAATTCAAGGTGAGAATGCTTTTCTATCAGTAGTAGTGGCTCACTAATGCAGTGGTTATAGCAGCAGAAGGTTGGCCTGCCCCAGCAGGGAGGTGTAGCAGAATCAAAGCAGCAAGTTGATGTTAAGGCCCTCCACAACAGAATTACTGAGTCACTTTTTCTTTGTATGTAAAACATAGTAGAATCTATTATTCAGTCTCTGCTGTGAAGCAGCCACTCTACCATACAGTTTAGGAATGTTATTGCACATAATTTTTACTATAATACTATTGTAAACAAGCAATAGGTACCCTATTTTATGGATGAGAAATCAGAGGCTTAGACAAGTGGAGAAATTTGGCTATATTACACAACATACAAGTGACAGAACCTAAATTCCAGTCCAAAACTGCTGGCTCCAAAGCTTGAACACTACACTTCACTGCCTTCTATATTAGATAAGACAGCACGTAAAGCAAGAATTAGTTTTTTAAAAAATCACAAACTATTATAAAAAATAATTTAAAGATAATAATTTTGAATAGTTATGTCATCTCCTTAGAGAGATTCTTTTATTTTCTGAACCTTTTGATTTCATTGTTTCCTCGATCTTTAAACAGAACAATATTAACAATAAAATACTTTTTTCTTTCTTTCAATTGGTTATTTATCAAATTATTTATACTTAAAATACAAATATTTTAATAATAAAATTTAATAGTAATGACTTTCATTAGGTTATTTGACCTACTAGAATTCATTACATTATTATCAAATTATTTACATTACTCTCTCTAGAAAGACATTGTATTTGGGGATGGTGACTACCATTTAATAGATTTTCAGTAAATAATTTTATGAATAAGTAGATGACTAAAAATAAACACTTAAAGAAATTCTTATTGGGATGTCTTTTTAGTCCCGGTTTCTTTAGTAATTTTCCTTTCATGACATTAGATAATCTGTTCTGAACTCAAATGAAGTGGAAAATTCTGGTAGTGGATTTAAAATACCCATATGAAATATTTAATTCAGGTGACAGTTTTAGTTCTGATTTATGTAGAAAATTGTCGTAATTCTCCTTTTTGATTTTCATATAAAGTCATAAATAAAAATAATGTAATCTTACCTTGGCCATTTTGTAGAACTGTTGAATATATCAAATGATATCATGTATAAAAGTCACTTGACTTAAGTATCTTAGAAATATAAAGATATGTATATTATTGAAGTTTTCTAAAATTTTAATTGCATGGAGTATTGGAATAATCAATCACAATGTCCAGTACAAAATAAAAAAATATAACACAATGGAGAAGAAACAGGAAAACAGAAAAATGTGACTCATAGATAAGGGTAAAACGGAAAAGGGAAACTGATTCTGACATGACACAGATGTTGGAATTAGACTTTAAAGCAACTATTGTAAATATGTTAAGACTTAAAGAAAAATAAGGCATAGAAATGAAAAGAGAGAAATTCAGTGGAGAAATTAAGACTATAAAAAAAGAACCATGTGGAAATTCTTTGTCCAGAAAGTATTTATAAAACATTTAAAAATAACCGGATGGGTTTAACAGCATATTTGAGAGTTTAAAAAAAAAAGTCTCAATTAGTTTGGTAATAAATCAATAGAAATATCTAATCATCAGAACAGAGATAAAAATTAAGGAAAAATGAACAGAATATCAGTAAACCGTGGAACAATATATAGTGATCAATCATATCAATAAGAGACTTAGAAGGGGAGATAGAAACAAGGAGAAAAACATTTAAGAAATAATGACATTTTTCCTAATTTGGTGAAAAACAATTTCACAGTTTCAAGAGACTAAATGAACCAAAGAAAGATAAATACAAATAAAACCACACACACAGCATAATCAAATTCCCAAGAGTCAAAGACAAAGAACAAATGTTTAAAGGATCCAGAGAAAAACAACAGATTGCACATAGGGAATGGAACATCTGACCATACAAAAGCCTTGACAAATTTTAAAGTGTTTGGTTCATAAAGAGGATGTTATCTCACCACATTGTAATTATGTTAGAAAATAATAACAAAAAGATTATTTCAATTTTAAGGTATATTATTTTTAAATTGAAAAAAGTAACATACTTTCTTTTTAGATATGTATCTTAGACAAATATCCTAACAATTATTTTCTTGTTCTTCAGTTTGAGAATCTAGTAGACAGTGATGAGGTAAGTATTGTAGTAGTGCAAAACCCATATTTGTTATCCTCATTAATCATCTCATTAGTTCTAATAATTAATTATTTTTTTAATTTTATTTTATTTTTGGTTTTAGAATTTTTACTCTGGTTTTCATTTTTACTTTTTAGTCTTTTCTGTGTCATTTCCTATTTTTACTAATTTTAGCAAAAAATTCAGAATTTTCTACTGTATAATATTTAAAGTACTATATATACACACACACGCGTGCACACATATACAGGTTTTTAATCATTCTGTAGAACTCAAAGAACCTCAAAGAAGGGATATTTCTAACCTCTTGCCATTAGGTAGGTAAAATACATCAACTGTAGAGTACACTTATTCTTTAACCATAGTTTTTTCATGGATTTCTGAGGGTTTATCCCAGCATCACACTGCTTTTCAGAAGAAGTTGTGGTTTCATGTGTTTTCCTAAGGTGCTTTTTGTTTGGTTGGTTGGTTTGAGGGTTTTTTTGTTTGTTTTTGTTTTTGCTAACTAATCTTCTCTCTCAAGTCACATTTTGTGTTTGGTTTAGTTGAATATCATCTCATTTTGTGATGCTATTTTCTAAATTAATTTGGACAATTTGGAATTTTATTCCTGCTTTTAACTTAGTCATATATTTTAACTGTCAGATGTGAGTAGTTTAAATGTGTAAGAAACATGCATAAACCTGTCTTGAAAATATTTATGGTTTACCGTAGAGGAAAAAATTATAGGTAATTTCATTGCCCTGTAAAAGAAAACAGAGACAGTCAGTTCTCATAATCTGTTGTAATAACTATGTTCTATAAAGTTGCTGTGAATGCTGAATTTGTGAATACACAAACATTATTCCCAGGGGACATAAAGGGGTTAGGTTCCTGCAAGCCTCTAGTTACAACATTTTCATCACCCAATCAGTATATAACCTTGTTTTCTGTATGCTTTTTTTTTTTTTTTTTTGTCTTTTTCCGTGTCCAGCAACGGATCGCAACCCTCAGTGTTGCCCCCGTACCGGACCGGGGACCGGCAACGGGATTGCAACCCTCGGTGTTGCTCCTGCGCCTCGCTCAGCCAGTGAGCGGGAACCGGTCAGTATGTGGGATCCGAACCCTCGGGCGGGAGCGCCGCCGCGCTTCCCAAGCGGCGCACTTATCCAGTGCGCCACCGGGCCAGCCCCACTGTATGCTTTTTTTTAAAGACACTTTAACATATATTGTTGATTTATTTTCATTTAACTCATGGCCAACAGCATTAACCAATGCCTGAATGAAGCTTATCTAACATACATATTTTCTCCATAAGGCACATTGTGCCCTTTTTGTGCTTAACAGCACTAGGTAGCACTTCAATACTACCCTTGGGAGTCATTTTAAACAGAAAATCACCAACAAAGGCACAAAAATGCAAACAACATGGCACTAAATAGACTATAAAAAGGGCACTGTTTTATAATAAGAGAACTGAAATAAGAATTCTGAGTGTCACTTGTTCAACCTCAGCTGGGAATGTGTGGTGTTGGTCAACTCAAATTTTTGGATGCTATGTTCATATCAAGAATGACTGAGAAAGGGTAGGGAATATTGATTGGGGGGTTACCAATACATTTTAGTGATTAGGCAAATTTGCAAATAATGGAATCTGTGAATAATAAGAATCAACTATCAATGGTGAGGACCTGGAGAATATCATTCTGACCCCAAAAGTTGATTTAATATATAAAAAATATTTGTTAGAAAAGATTAAGAAATGTCCAGCAAAAGTATGTTATATTATTAAGCTAGATAGTAAACTAAATTTGGCCTTTGAGAAATAGTAAAATTTTAAAGCTTTTTATTTCAAACACTTTTAAAATGAAATTTATTTTTTATGGTAAAAATAAAGTAGAAAATATTTTTAAGTGAAAATTGTATTGGCATGCCTTAAATAGAATTCAGCTAGTGAAATTTCTTTGTTTAATTTTTGTACAGGGGGAGAGCCCAGGAAGCAATCATAGGTAAGGCTTTTTTTTTTACAAAAAGTCAAAAATTTCTATGTGAACTGTACTACAGCAGCTAAGAATTCAGGCTCTGTCATTTGCTTGCTTTGAGACATTAAGCAATTTATGTTTCAGAACCTTAGTTTTCTCTTTCTATGAGATTGAGGCAAATGACATACATCTCAAAAGATGGCTTTGAACATTAAAGAATATAATGTATATAAGTGCCTGGGTGCTTTCCTATTGAACATAAGTTGTTATGTGTTTTTCAGTTTTCTTAAAACCATATAATATTGATAAATACATTTCTTTTAAGTTTTTAAACTTTATTTCCCTTTTCTTTCCTAATGACATTCCTAAACTTGTTCTACTACTCAAAAGTTTTTTTACATGTTTGGTAGTAACTAGAATCTTGATATTATTATTTATTTAAGCAGCCTTTTTGTATTTTATTAAAATTACATGGACTATTTTTTAAAAAGTGTGGCTTTTAACTCAAAAGATAGTTCTTAATATTAAGAAAGTATTTTTAATACATATGTTTCATATTTTGAATGTATGTTCCTTACTTTAAAAATGTTTAGTAAACATTTTTATTAGGCAACTATCATGTACCAGGCACTGTGCTAGACACTAGGATTAAAAAAAAAAAAAAGACATGTTCTCTGCATTAGAAGAAAGAACATCTGGTCTGGGAGATAAATCTCAAAGTTGACTGATTTCCATTTGAGGTGAGAAAAAGCAATTTAATAGCAGTTATAGAACATGTTTGGAAACCCTGGAGAACAGGCCCTTTGCCCAAAATGTGTATGGGAAGGTGTGTCTAAGAAGACTTCTGTAAGGGATTCACACCTGGGTTGATCCCTGAAGGGATGGTTAGTGGTAACTCTCCAGGCAGAAGAGGAGAACATTCCAGAGAGAAGAAATTGCATGAGCACAGTGAGAGAATTGTTTGGAAAGGGGCACAAGGAAACTGGGGATGGGTGATGAAAATGTTCTGTATCAGCCTTGGGTGGAGACTACATGAGTATATACAATGTCAAAACTGTACGGACTGAACATTTAAAAATCTGTATTTTATTTTATTTAATTTATACCTCAAAAAAATATATATATATATCCCTAGGCAGAAGTTAGAGCTAGAAAAACAGAAGACATTACCTTATACATGGCTAGTTAATCATGATAGTTAGCAAGACCACCTACCTGAGGGGGGTTTGGAGGAGAAGAGGGGGTGGTTGGAGCATGGTGAGAGAGCAGTGGTCTGAGGATTGAACAGGCAGACACTCAAAGAGTAGTCTGAAGATGACAAGGAGTAGTCAGCAAAAAGAAGCAGGAGAACATGGGAAACCAAGGGAGGAGGTAGAGACAGATAGATGGGCTGGAAGGAGTGGTCAATACTGTCACATGAAACTGTAGTAATAAGATAGGACTTAAATTGACTACTGTATTTGACAGTGAAGAAGCCACTTTGCTAACCTTTTGATAAGCTTTGCTAGAGTTATCAGAGTGACGGAAGAAGAGGTGGACTGTAGTGAGTTTATGAGTGCATGGGAAGAGCTGCACAGTAGTTAAGAGCAAGGAGCTAGACTACCTAAGTTCAAATTCTAGCTTTTCCACATGCTGTGTGACTTATCTGGATATGCTCCTAGTCTCTTTGTCTCATTTTCCTCATATGTATAATCTCTATCTGCCTTGTAGGGTTGTTGGGAGGATTAAAATTAGTTAATGTATGTAAAGTACTTAGAAAAGAGACTGGCACATAATAAGTGCTAGATGTGCTAATAACTGTTGATATTCAGTACATTTAATTTCAGGAATTTTGACTGAAAAGGGGAAGGAGAAAGGGAGGAGTAGCTAGAGGTAGATTCAGGTCAAATGAAGGTTTTTCCTCCTTCCTGTCATCTTCCTTATGGAAGATAGGTGAAAACAGACAAAAGGAATAGGTTAAAGATAAAAAGGAGGGGCTAATAGCTGGAGCAAGGTCCCAGAGAATTCTCTGGAGTGGGGGAGGAGCAGGAGTATCACTGGTGAATGAATCCAGAGTGTGAGTGTAGTAGATGACCTTGAACAAGTTGAGGAACACTGCCTTTTCAGAGGATGCAGGGAAGAGTTGGGGGATATACTTAAGTGGGAGAGTGGCAAGAAGTTGAGGAAATTCATATTGATACTCTGCATTTCTCAAAGTGGAGTAAAATTGTCTTTTAAGAGAAAAAAAGTTTGAGTAAGAAACTTAAGGAGTATGTTGAAGTAGTTAGTGTAGGATGTGAGGTGGAATTGACCATGGGTAGGTAAAAGGACTATTGCTGGGGGCTGAGGGCCAAATTGATAGTGGATTTTCTCTAGCAGCCCACAGCAAAAAGGGCTAATCATGAAAATGACCCACATTTAGAATGTGAGCAAGTAAACTGAATGAATATGGCATAGTAGTAGGAGTGCAAGAAGGTGAGAATGTTGGTAAGGAAGTAATTCACATCTGCTGAAGTGAGGCCAGGAGATGATTGGGATACAAAGACGGGGAGAAAAGAGAAGGATCCTGGTGTCTGGGGAGGCTAGAGTGATTGAGCAGGATAAATAGGAGGATTAAGAGTTCCAGAATGGTATAGGGATAAGATCAGGCTGTAGTATACTGAAGGTTACATTCTGTGATGAACATTTTAGGATATGGTCTGGGGTTTATTCCCGTAGGTTAGATGGCTGAAGCAGAGCCAGAGTGAGGGTAAATAAAGTTCATATTTCTTAAAAGATGGTTATAATGCTAAAAAATACTCTGATAATATATCATCTTATTCACTTAGATGAAGGTACTTGAAAATGTTTGTAGAAAAGTGGAATTAAAGTTAATACGAATCTTTCCATGAACTGTTTGAAGTACTCTCATAGAACCGAAAGATAATATGAATCTTTCCATGAACTTTTTGAAATACCCTGGTATATGAGAATACAGCAAGTGTTAGAATGTGTACTTTTTACCCTTAACAATTGAAGTTGTAGTATCAAATTGCTTTAATACAGTTTTAACAGCAGAGTTCCAGACTTTCACTGGCTTTATGAGTATTTTATTTGGACTAAGACTCATTAGGAATTTTTTTGTTTTTGTTTTTTCCTTTTCTTTCTTTTCCCCCTCCTTTTTTTTTTCTCTAGGCCTCTTACTGAGGAAGAAATTGTTGACCTAAGAGAAAGGCATTATGATTCTATTGCTGAAAAACAGAAAGATCTTGATAAGAAAATTCAAAAAGAGGTAAGTAGTCTTTTAGGTTGCTTAAATATATGTTATCATAAAGCCTCATTTATAGGGAGAGTTGTCATTAAATAATAAATATATTGCATATAGTCATTGGACCTATATTTAAATATATACAGATGAAAATGATTTACAAGTAAAAAAATTATTCCAGCCTATTATAATTTTTTTTAGCTTGGTTTAATTTATCAGAAATCATATGCTGCCAAAAAATGAAGATAGTACGTTTTTTAAAAAATAATTTCTTAATTCACAAAGTTAGGAACTCTGGCAAGAATATGCACCTTTGTGTTTAAAACCAACTTTTAAAAAAAAAATTACTCTGTTTCACAATAAGTGGCTTTTTTAACTGTTTTTGTTTGTCTTGGATTTGTTTACAGTGAACTAAGTACTTCTAACAATCATAAATGTTTTGTTTATTTAATGTACTTATAGAAGAGGCCTGTAGTTATAGTTTTGCTATCACTAAACTAAATGGAATTAGTCATATTCCATTATACATTTAAAAATAGTCTGTTTAGTACGAATTAGTTATTTCAAAAAGCATCAATATAAGTGACATAATAGATGCTGATATTAGTCTAAAGAACAAAATTGTGTTGAAATTTAATTTGTAAGTTAGCTTCGACGTGCAGTAGATATCACTAAAGCAGTTTGTATGCTATTATGACTCTCAAGAACATAAATTTTAAAGTAATTTTTAAATAACTGGATAGTAATAAAATTAAGGAGACATGTTGCATCTTTGTTAATTAGATGGAGAGACATGAATTTTGTGCAAAGTAAGTTCACTTTGGTAGTAAGTGAACTATATTGGTATGATTGGTATAGTTTTAACAATCTTAGACTTAGGAGGGTCAAAACCATTCAGCTAGTCAGAATGATAGGTGTTGGAATGATTGCTGAGAATGAAGATCATTAAATAGTCTAAAGAAATTAACAGTTCTGTATTTATACAAATTAGATGCTATTGCTTCAGAACTCAATTTCTAAATAATTCTGTAATGTTTTTTATATCATTTGGGTTATTTTGTAAAAGGAGAAATTGAAACGAGCAATCACAAAAATTTCAATTCTGTTATGCATTGTAGAGATCAATTATTTTTTTAATAATTTATTTTTTATTTTATAAATAGAAGCATTTTATTTTTAGGGCAGTTAGACAGGTTCTGATTTTTGTTAATCCTTATCGTTTTGTTCATGTACAGTTAGCCTTACAAGAAGAGAAGTTAAGACTAGAAGAAGAAGCTTTATACGCTGCACAGCGTGAAGCAGCCAGGGCAGCAAAGCAGCGAAAGCTCTTGGAGGTGAGGGGAAAAGACCCCGACATATATTAGGGTTGCTTTTCTCCTTATTTTCTCTGACAAATCTTAGTTGGGACTTTTTTTTCCCCCTAGAATCAAGGGCTTCTTGTTTAACAATGAATGTATTTATGCATATGTTCTTGGGAATTTTAAGGGCAAATTAGTTAATTAGTCAATTTAACAGCTAGAAATAACATCAAATTATATGCTTGATACTGAATGCTGTTTAGCTTTAGACTAGCAGAAGGTAATTCCTGTTTATCCTAAAGATGAATTTTAGTGGTCCAAAATTTAGTATTCTTTTGGAAAAATAAATATACTCTTTGAGAGAAAACATTCCAAAACTAGCTCTGAAATATAATTTCCAAAGTATCTTGTAGTGTTTTGTGAGTTGTGTTTTTGGTTTTTTTTAAATAATTTCTGAAACTGCTGGAATTTCTTGTACTTCCGAGTATCAGATAAGCTATGCAATTTTGCCCCATAGGGATATTGTTTATTTCTCTTCTTTATTCTTGTGTACTTAGAAGATTAGGAGTTTGGGTCTTGAGAAATCTTTAGTATGTTGGCAGGGAAGGCAGCAGGTTTACCATATCTTAACCATGTCAGATAGTAATATGGTATTACCATAATATTTAACAGCTATAAATAACTGATATTTTTGGAATCCTTTCTAAGCTTCAGAAACTATTCTAAGTAGTTTACGTGTTTTACCAAGTTTAATCCTCACGACAATTTTAGGAGATAATGTAGTGTTTTTAATCCCCGTTATGTTTTATAACTTGCTTGAGATCCTACAGCTAATAAAATGGCAGAGCCAGAGTTCAAGCACAGCAGTGCTAAGACAGTGTCCTGCTTAGTATCTGCCTTGATATTTTGCCTATGTGGATTCACTACTGTAGTGTTAATTGGAGTAGTAGATCACGTTACATAATAAAACTTAGAGAAACTGAAAAATCATGTCTATTATATTGCAATGTGATTTCTACCTGAACTGTGTCCTTTCTCTTTCTCTCTCTTTTTTTTTAGTAAGTTCTAAATAGTGGAAAAGTTTAAAAATTAACTTTCATCTTCTAAGAAATAAAAGTATTTTTCTGGTTATAGTATAGGCACTCTTTTTACTTATAAAATTCTCTACTGTCTCCTTTTAAAGACTAAATGCATTCATATGCAGCTCTATCTGGATGATTTCTAGGGTTCACTGAATTTTTCCTTCCCCGGCTAAATATTTGATATAGGAACACATTAAAGTTTATACAGCATACACTGACACACAGACATACACAGACACCTACCAATTCATTTAATTTTTATAATAACTCTGAGTTTGCTGGGTCAGTAATACAGCCATCTATAATTTAGAGGTGAAGAAACAAAAGATAAAGGCCATGTGGGGATATACAGCTAATAACTGTCTTCTAAATTCTATCAGTCAGTTGCTTTTATTTTTTCTGAGTCAATTCAGCCAGGTCTTATAAATTGTTTTATTATTATGTATTTCACCCAAAATAGAACTTCATATACTGTTTTAATTATTTCTTTCCTGCCCCTTATCCTTTCAGTTATTAGGAATTCCTTAAGTGTACTAAAAATGTTGAGAATACCAATATATATCTGTTTTACAAGTTTGTGTTATTTTTATGATACTATGAATGTTCTGGCCACTTATGGACTATATGCTGATAAATTGAGAAAAATTCTACCCGTAATTAAGAGGATATAGAAGTGAGTAATGATGACTTTAAGGAAAAAGACTTCAACAGAATAACTTTGTTGTGTTTTTTTAGAGCTAGAAGAAGCTTTTTTGGTGTTGCATGAGTAGTTTTAAAAAACATACTTTTACAAGAGTGATTTTGATTTTGTATTACGTTATGTTTCCAAAGCAAGAAGGGCAGAGAGTTGTGCAGCGATATCGTCCTTCCAACCATGGAGAATATCAAAGGTAAATAGTGAGACAATTTCTTCCTCCCTTTGTAGTAGAAAATTTTATTTCCAAGTAGAGAACACTTTACCTCAGGATGTTTGTATACTTATTCATGTTTACGTATTCCCTAAAAATTATTGCTTCTCAAAGACACTGTCTTGGAAGAATACTGAGAACATTTGTTTTCTTTAAGTTGGAATGTGATCATCATTTGTTTAAATTGATTTTATTGCATTTTTGAGAGTGGTCACATTTTCCATATAGAAAGAGATTCAATAGCTGAATGCTTTTGGGTAAGTTGCTTATACTTTAGTTGTTTGTGTTTTTTCTTAGATACTCTGTTTTTTTTTTGTAATAAAGTTTATGTGTGATCATTTTTTGGAAGAGACATTTTAATGTCACATTTCCACAAGTATCCCTACTCATTCATGCTTCATTATTACAAATTGTAAAGTTGGACTCATAGCTAAGCTTTAGAGGTTTGACCTCAGGATTAACCAGAATCTTATTATTTTCAGTTTTGTGCTAGCGTTATGAAAATTAAGACCTATTTTCATTAGGTTATTCTAATTGTAGAGCAATTATGAATTTGTGCAAGATAAGTATTCAAACCAAAATGCTGTCATTAACTTAAATATTTGTTATGTTGCATCTACTATGTATCTGCATGAGTATATGAAAAAGTTACTTCACTTTTATTACAGTTCAGGACCAGAAGACGACTTTGAATCCTGTTTGAGAAATATAAAGTCACAGTATGAAGTTTTTCGAAGTAGTAGTAAGTCTTTTAAAATATTCTCTGTACATTTTAAGTTTACTTTATGGCACATTAAACGGATATTTTTGGATATCCTAGCTCTGTTTTTATAGAAGAACTTCCTGTCTTTCAATTTCTATTGCCCAGAGAGGTCAATTAACTAGTCATTAATTATACGATATCATCTTTCCTTTTTGAAAAGAAGTTAGAGCAAAGAAAAATCTCAAGCTGTTTCTGTAGGTACATATAGAGAATTCAGCTCTCCTCTTTCCATTTCTATTCTGATTCCACCACTCCCCTTCCCAAAAACAAGAAAGGGAAGGTGGGAGGAAATGATACAAAAGTGTACTTATTTTACTTATTACAAATTGATTTATAAGATTAAAATATTTCTTCAGGTTTCAGAAGTCAAAACTCCTATGCTTCCCAGTAATGGAAGCATAGTAGTAGTAGTTCCTTTTGAAAATACAGGCTACTTTTTATTTGGTTTATCTTTTTTGTTTGTTTGATCTTTGTCCCCCTTTGTAATTGACTGTTAGTTAACATTACCTAGAATTTGTCATATTTGAGATGTTTATAATTTATTTAAATTTGCGTGATTGCTATGCTTACATGGCAAAAAAAGAAAGAGAAAGGAAAAAAAAGCTCTTATACTATTCCTAACAGAAACTTACCAATGTAATGATTTCAAGAATTCTTTCTTGTGAAGTTAAAGGAATAGTAACATTTAGAGAGAGACATTTGTTGCAAAAGAAAATGGCTGTTGTGGTAAAAGAGTAGACTTTTAATTGTATTTAATATATATTCTAGGACTTTCATCAGATGCCACAGTTTTAACACCAAATACAGAAAGCAGTTGTGATTTAATGACCAAAACTAAATCAACTAGTGGAAATGATGACAGCACATCCTTAGATCTAGAATGGGAAGATGAAGAAGGTATTTCATAATTCTCAATTTTACCTTAAAAGTTTAATATGTGTTGATTGATACAAATCTACCTTAGTATTTTACTTGATTTATTTATTTATTTATTTATTTTTTTTGTCTTTTGTCTTGATTTAAACTTAAATAAATGCAAGACCTTGAAAAATCATATAAAAATTTCTTAGCCTATTAATTGTATTAGTGATTATCATTTGTTGATGAACTGTTTAGAAAGTTGCCTCATTTTTAATGTTTCTTAAGATTTAGAAAATGTTAATTTTGTACTTTAAGGGTTTTGTAAACCAGCCCTATGACTTAATATGAAGGATTACTGCCCCCTTGTGGGCAATCTAATTGCAAAAATGAATTAACATTTAATTCATTATAAATTAGTAATTTAATTAGTAGCATTTTGGATAGAACAAAAACTCATATATCAGTTTGAATTTTCTTATGTCTTCAGAGCTGTAGTACTTCAGGTAGATTACTTAATCTCTCTAAACCATGGTTTGTTCATCATAAAAAGGGAATATTAAACTTAATAATTTTTCACTGTTGTATATTTAGGGTCTAAAAATGCCTGACATGTAATAGACAATCAATAAATATTTGAACAAATTAATGGATGAGTGTTGGTAGGATTTAATAATATATATAAAACACCCTGTAGAGGGTGTGGCATATATCAAGTACTCAAAATTGTATCTGAAATGTTTATTTTTTTAAAAAAGCTATTTCATTGAATAAGGCCCAAGTTTTTATTTTAAGAAATAAGCAATCTAAAAAGGAAGACTTAATTATAGAATACAAAACTTTAAGAAAAATAGTAAGCATTAAATATTTTATAGAATATTGAGATGGAGAATGGACTTTAGATATCCTCTAGTGCAGCTGTTTATCAACAAAGAGACAGATACACGGGGAACTTCAATGATTGCTTTGTTACATCTTCTCACTTCGTGACATCTTCTCAGCTGAACACCATTTCCCTGATCCTGTACTTAATGTTATTACATAGTGGATCCCAATCATCAGACTTTAAATTTATTCTGATTTTAGCATCTCATTCAATTTGAACTAAAGCCTTTCAGATCTGTTAATTACTGGTTCTGTCATCCACACTACCAGATTTATAGATAATATGACTTTCTAGGTCATTATTCAAGTTATTCATGGAATTATTAAACTAGACCAGGTAGAGAACGGTGCCCACTGGACAGAAATCTGCTTCTAGGTTGATGTACAATCCAGCTTTCTTTAGACAGAAATTCACAGAAACAAATCCACAAAATAATATTAGTATCCAGCTCATATTTTTATCTTGTCTATAAAAATAACTCGCTTTACTGGGTTGAGTCTTCGTGATTTTTCAGGAATAGCAGATAACTGTGATGCAGATTTAAGAGGTTTTTTTGGTACTGTGGGATCTAATTCTTTAAGGTCAGAAAACGAAATTATTGAATATATCTAGGGATATTGTTATAAATCTCTTTGCCAATCTTGGATTTTAATTCTGTTACCAAAGTTGATTCTATACTTACAAATTCACATTTCCGTCCTCTCTCCCTTCCTTCTGACAATAAAATAACATTATTTTTTCCTTCTACGATTTTGACACTTTCACTTTACCAGTTTCTTTCTGTTCAGAATTAGACCTAGAACAATTTCCTGCATGACCTTACTGAAATCATTTATCTGTCTGCCTCAGTTTCCTCAACGGTAGAATGGGAAAAATGGCAGTACTATATTTAACTTCGTAGAATTATTGAAGATTAAATCAGTTAACATATGTAAAGTGCATTTAGCATTAACTGCAACCTAGTAAGTGCTGGAAAAGAATATGTTGTTATTATTATCATTAGAGTGATTGTCATTCTCTGGGAAATTATATTATCATCAGGCTAGGAAAGGACCTTAACAGACATGCTGATTTGACCATGTGAGATTAATAGCAATTGAAATCCTTCATTTGTTCTGTTTTATTTATGGCTCATTAGAAATTTTATCTTATCAGATGACCAGTTTTGCATCAAAAATGCCCTTTGGTGAATAGTAATATTTATTTTTATCTAAGGCATACTTTAGGATTAGACCCCAACAATTTCTCTTAAGAAGTTCTCCATGAAACTGGCTCTTTAAGTTAATTCACAAATCAATTCTGATAGTTAAATAAAAACTGTATTGTTAAACTGGGAAGTCTTTCCAGTATGGAAAGTCAATACAGTATGACTTTTTATCCTCACTTAAGTCTCTAAAAATTCTGTTCAAATGATAGGAATGAATAGAATGCTTCCCATGAGAGAACGTTCCAAAACAGAGGAAGACATTCTCCGAGCAGCACTTAAGTATAGCAGCAAGAAGTCTGCAAGTAATCCTACATCAGCCTCTGATGATTCCAATGGGCTAGAGTGGGAGAATGATTTTGTTAGTGCTGAAATGGATGATAATGGCAATTCTGAGTATTCTGGATTTGTAAATCCTGTATTAGAACTGTCTGATTCTGGCATAAAGCAATCTGATGCAGATCAACAGACTAGATAGGGTAAAATTGCGTAACCCTGTTTATCAGTTATGACCAAATGTTAAAAACCAACTAGAATGTATAAATTGTTTTGTAAGGGGGAGGTAAGAAACCATGTTGTAAATGCTTATTGTATTAGAAAGAAGTAAGAATGATAGGATAAATTTGATTTGCTTCAGAATTAAGTGCAATTTCATCATCTGCCTTCTGCTTTTCAAGACCAATTTAATAGTTTTATCATGTTACCAGTTACATTTAGCTCTTTTCTTTATAGCATTCCTGTTTACTGTTGCAGATTTTCACTTAAAAAAATTTTTATTAATTTTATTTCAAATGCTTTATTAAGTCTGTTTCATTGTCTATTTGTGAAAATATTAAGGCTTTTTCTTGTTAATTCTCAGCAGATGTGAAAGGAGCATAAAGAGATTGTCAGATTCAGATTTACAGTAGTGTTCCCTTTTGCAGCATTATTTACTTCTATGATTTCTTTGAATTTTATTATCTAATAGTAAGCACAATTAATTTGAGTAGGTGAGTCTCAGAAATCAAGTATCAATTTCTCTCTATACTTATTATATATCCTAAGGTGATAATGTTGATTCAGTCTGAACAAAGGATAATATAATAAAAATAAGCTTTCAGAGTTTAGACATTTCAAGTTGATGATAATCAAAAATAATATTTAAGAAAATATATATATATTTAGGCTTTTCACTTTATTTTACATGCTACTATATTGACTTTAACTTAATTGACATTAAGTTTTTAGGTGTCATTATTTTTTTTTAATTCTATATTTCCAAGGAATGAGCTTAGAAAAAGTTTATAAAGAACATATTCTCTGCATGATTTAAGAAAGGAAAGCCTAAAAAAGTAATACGGGTATTTCAAAGTGGATAAAAATCCTTTCTGGTGTGAAAGGCTCCATTAATTTTATTGAGCTTTCCTTTGCCTTGTAAGTACAAGGTGCTTTAATAGGATGGAACTAAGTATTTCAATATGTATAACTGCATTTTATGATAGACAATTCTTCTTTTTCCTAAAGTTTACATATCAATATAAAAGGCCAGAGATATAAAACACTCTCTAATTGCTTTCCTTGATTTTGCTGAGGATCAAGTATGAGTTTAGTAAGCAAACTATTTTTGGCTTTTCCTTGGTGTTTTTTCTTTTCTTTTTTTTGCAACTATAATAGTGCATGTTCTCAAAAATATAGGAAGGTCCAGATATAAATAGTAACTTAAAGTTCTTACCGCACTTAAAAAAAAATAAATCATGTGGCCCTTTCAATATTTGAACTGCTAGGCAATGACATCTGTAGTCTTACCTCCTTTTTTATTTCATAGAAATAAATATGACACTTTAAATATGTGAATATAATACATTAGGTAATGCTATTATTTATGTTTCTCTTTACATGATTTAATTTGTAGCTATGTCATTGAAAATAATTTAAAGGTAATCTATATTCACATTGCCTGTGTTAATGCTTTGTAAAGTTTGTATACATCAGATGTATATTTTTGGTTTGGCATAAGCTACTATTGTAATTTTTCTTGGCTTTTTGTTCATAGAGAATTTTTTGAAGGAATGGTAACTTCTCAAGGATTGTGAATAAACATTTTTACATTTAAAGGTAATAAATTATTTGATTATTACTGGTTTTACTCCATAGACATGCAAGTATTCTAACTTCTGAATTGTAATTATTTTATTAAACCTGATACGAAGACAAAAAGGAGTGAATTAGGAAAGCAAGATGGAACTAAACTTGAAAATGTGTTTTAACTGCTAGGAAAAATAATATTAATTTTTTGCTTTACTTATTAAAAAAACACTAGCAATAACTTATTTATTCAGCAAATATTGGAGACTCTACTGTGTCTGGTAGGGTGTTAGGGACATAGCAGAAAAAGACATACAAGGTCCCTGCTCTTTTGCTTACCATTCTGGTGAGAGACACACACAATAATAAGTAAACATATGAGTAAGAAAATCACAGATCACAGGAAATATACAAGACGATAGGACAGAGGGTATCTGGAGCCAGTTGACCACGTTTGATAGGTCAGGAAAATCCTCTGTGAGGAGATATTTGAACTAAGACTTAATTATTGAGCAGGAACCAATTAGGTTAAGAAAAAGCCTAGTGACGCATGTTATAAGGAAAGGGAATGGCAAGTACAGAGTTCCTGGGGTGGGAAATAGTCCACCGTGCTCTGCAAATAAAAAGACCACTGGGACTGAAGCATCATGAGTGAGGGGGAAGAGTGGTATGAGACGATATTGGAGGGGTAGTTAGGAGCCAGCTCATGCAAGCCCTTACGCCATGGTTAAGAATGAATTTTGTTTGATGTGTACAAGGAAGCCACTGACATTTTTTGTAAGCCAGGATGTACAGTTTCAAAAGACTACTGTAATTGCTATATAGAGAATGGGTTGTAAGAGGGCAAGAGTAGATGTACACTACCCTCAAGGGGACATGGTGTTGCTTGAGTTTATAATGGCTATAGAAATGCAGAGCACATTTATTTTAGAGGTAGAATCAACACTGGCAGGGATTAATGCACCCTTCTACTTAAAGAGCCCAAGAAAAAAATCAATTTCCTGTGACAAATGATTCCTTAAGATGTGTACTGAAAGTTTCACAACTTAGCTGTAGTACCTTGTATCAAACATCAGTATTTTTGTTTGCCCCCACTCCACCACATTGTGGCCATTTTTTGAGAAAATGCTTTTTCTGTCCACATGCAGCCATTATATAATGAAACCACCTTACCTGAGAATTGATTGGTATAGAGGTGGACACCTGACCCAAGCCAACCCTTCCCTGGAACTAGAATTGGGAGTGATCAATAACATGTAAAACTTGGGAGCTAAGTTGGTAGCTATGCGCCACCACGTGGAGTGAGGAACAAATGGAGAATGGAGCCAATACGCATTGAGGGGCAGAGCTAGAGGCATTTGACTCCTGCCTTGAGTCTGCTGCATTCCATCCTTGGGTTCTGTGAGATACTCCAGCTTCCCTCTAACAATGTAGGTGGCTCTGGTAGAGATTCTATACTTTGTAATCAAAACAATCCTAATACTAACCTATTGCTTCTTTGTTACCTATCAGAGTCAGGCCATGGAAAGTGTTTGTTCTTTGGAGAACAAAGATAAGTTAGTATTTAGCAACCCGCTCTCTCTTTTGCCAATCTTTTAAGAAAAGAAAAAGAAAAAATTAAAGTTAATATTTCTCAGGTTGAACAAAACTGTTTCCAGGATATACATTAGGAGAAATCATTAACTATTTTATATGAACATGAGTTTTTTCTGGCCCTAAATATCACCTAACACATTGTTTAGGTTTCATGAATTCCTTTAATATTAAAACTTTGTAGGCCCCACCCACAACCAGACAAACAATAGAGCATGCCCAGGGTCCTGAGCCTGGGGACGTGGGCTCCTGCCCCTGCCTGCAAGAACTTCTTAGAATGTATTTATTAGCCACATGTGTTTCTTTCGCGTGTGTGACTTGTCTGCTCATGTCCTTCAAATTTTTGTTAAGAATTTTCTAATTCATTTTTAAGAGTTCTTTATGCATTAAGGATATTAATCCTTGTGTGTTAAATCTGTTCCCTTATCAATTGACTTTAAATTCTGTTTATGATGTTTTCCTTCATTTGTATGTTAAGAAAACAATTTTCTATCTAAACATTAAATGAAAATTTTAAAAACTAATTTATTAATTCATCCGTCAACCTCAAAGAAAAGGAACAAAAGTGAAAAAGTCTTCCAAAATAGTCATAATGATAGTATGTGCATATTAAAATATATAATACTTTACTCATAGAAAGCCTTTACCATGAGACTACTGTATTTACACTGTAAACAATTCTAACAAGCTGAGTGATCTAGTTTGTAAATCCATATCAAACAGGAAGCTATAATCCTAGAAAAAGATAGTATAGTAAAGGCAATTGATTGACAGTAGCAAGAAGTGAGAGTAAACCACCTTAGGTAAAGGAGACTATATTGTTTTCTATTTGCTGCTGTAATAAATAACTGCAATTTAGTGGCTCATAACAACACAAATTCATCATCTTAAAAGTTCTGTAGGTTAGAAGTCAAACACGGATCTCACTGGACTAAAATCAAGTGTCCTCAGGACTTCCTTCCTTTCTGGAGGTTTCTTTGCCTTTCCCAACTTCTGGTTGTCCAATGCATGTTTTTCAACTTTAAGAGGCTGCCTGCATTTCTTGGCTCATGGCCTTCTTCCTCCACCTTTGAAGGCAGTAACAACAGGTCAAGTCCTTGTCACATTTCATCACTCTGACATCTTGTTCTGCCTCTCTTCCACTTTTAAGGACCTATGATTAATTGGGCCCACCCAGGTAATCCAAAATCATCTAATTTAAGGTCAACCAATTAGCAACCTTAATTCCATCTGCAGCCTTAATTTCTCTTTGCCATGTAACAACATATTCACAGGTTCTGGAGATAGCACCTGGACATCTGGACATGTTTGGGTGGGCCATCAATCTGCCTACCACAGGGAGTAAGCAGGAAAACTTGATATAGGAACTTAAATAGTCATTCCAGCCATTTTATATAGGGACAAATATTTCAATCTGCCTGAACAGTCCCAGGGCTGGGGAGTGGAGGTAAAGGTGCTGGATGTCACATTCTATAGTCCAGGTCCATTTTATTTAGGTAGCCCAGCTCCCTACTGTCCACAACCAGTCTGGTCTTCTTACTCATATTTTTCACTTCAAAAGAGAGTCCCTGAGCTGCTAAACTTTTTAAACAGCTACAGAAAAAACTGAACTCAGGAAACCTGTCAAGAAAAAGTTTAATAGGGTTTACATTCTCTTGGTAAGAGCCTGGACAGTTTATAAAAAAAAAATATTTTAGAAAGGTTGTTAAAGAAATATGATTACCTTTTTTTTTTTTTTTTCCCCTAAAATGGACCTCTTATTGCAGGAAGAGTTTCATTTACCTAGAAAATTATATAGAGACCCTCACTTCCTGGTAACACTAGAATTTAACTTAATTGAATGGTTACCATTCTCATTTATTTATTTAACATTCACTACCTAGTTAAAATGAGTTGAATAAGGATCTTTTAAATAAAGACATTTTTAAGCTAAAATTCTAGAAAGATTTAAGCATTTATTATAAATGCTCACATATATTTACTGATATAGAGTAGCCTAAGAACAGTTCTTTCCCGTCCTTGGGAAGAGTTTCAAAGAAAATGGTTGGGGAATTAAAACTTGACATTATTGTGTTCATGGATGCTGTTAAAAATTTGAATTCATGAAACTTAAAAATTGTATATAGTATTTAAAACTCAGACTTCAAATTTGGTAATAATAATTTTAAACTTAACATAGTGGTTCTTTTAAATGTTTAAATACTGGTTTTAGATGCTGAATATAGACAAGGAGAACTGTCATCTTAGGAATAAACACTATAATTTTACAGCAAGTCAAGGTTATTATTTCTCAAGTCCATGTTAAAACCACAATGATGCACAAACACAACTCTAGAATGCATTCCAGTAATCTGGTACTACAAGTACTAGCAGGCCACAATCGCCTTGAACCTTGACCTTAAAAACAAATGGCTGCTTTGAAATGACGTGACCAAACCAAGAGATGGTTCCTTAGGAAAAGAAAACATAGGATGAAAATCAAGCAGAAAAATAATAAGCTTATTCTGAGAACATTATTTCATCACAAAGGATATCTTTTATACATTAACACTCACAGAAGTACACTTAAAATAACTCTAAATAGACCCAGGAATACAATAGGTGACTAAGTTGATGACTAACATAATTTACAGACTTCAAAATGATGATACCAAATCCCAAATCTGACAGCATAACAGATGACTATAATATACTACACTAATAAACCCTTAATAAGTAGTGTTTATTAAATGTTTCCAAAGCTCTTCATCCTTCATGTTTCTCCTCTTAGACCTCTGTGTTCACAATTCATTTTCATCCATTTCTATAGGAGAAGTGTTTTGTGTGGAACAGTATGAATAACTGCCGTACTCAGGTATGGGCTTATGTGGTGGCCAGTCGTTTTCTTCCAAGAGTGATCTTGGAGACAAAATAAATTGAGTCTCAAAAAATTCCAATGACTCTCCATCTTCTTTCTCCATCAGGAACTGATACTCACCAAATCTCACTATGCACTTGTATGGCAGGTCCATTTTATTTAGGTAGCCCAGCTCTCTACTGTCCACAATCAGACTGGTCTTCTTACTCATATTTTTAATTTCAAAAGAGAGAACTGAGCTGCCAAACTTCTTAAACAGCTGCAGAGAAAACTGAACTCGGGAAACCTGTTTGTCCTGAAAAGTATAATGACAGGTGGAATTTCGGCCAAATTTCACTACTTCGCTGGAGGAGAGTTTTTCTCTGTTACAAAACTTTATTGATTGAAATATTCCATTTCGCAACTGGGTAGGATGGTAAACAGTCATATGGAGACAAGTTACCGTCTCTTCTGTGTCTGCATCATCGAAACTGGACATGATATGCACCAGAAGACCCACCTGCAACAATTAAACCACCAAGTTAGTTCATGCCTATACTTAAAGCACTGAGAACTTCAGTTCGGATATTTTGATGAAAATCTTCTGATAAGTGACATATTTAGACTTCAAGAAAATAATACACAGAACACTTTCAGTTAACTAGTAGATATGTAAAATCTTACAGCCCTATGAGAACCACATATCTCTGAGAACCTTTTACTATCTCTTTACTTATTCATTTCTAGTTTGACTATAGCCATACATGTAATCTGGACAATAACAAGGAATGGTTATTGACAATAAAGTGGTTTTTGTTAAAGCATAAGGAAACCTCAGTTCCTTTCTCATTTAAATAGAGTGACTTGAGCCCAGAGAAAATATGACAGCTGTGCTTTAAAAAGAAAATCAGGAAATAAAGAATCCCTTTGGTTTGAATACCTTCAAAGGATATACACATAAAGAATAGCTATAGTTTATTAACTATTATAATTAGATGTATTATGAATTGTGAAATCTGTTTAATAAATTTAAAAGTTATAAACAAGTAATTTCAACATTTATCCTTTATGTCCTCACTCAAATTTCTAGTAGGTAAATGATTAAAAATAGTAAATGCTTTAAATGGTTATTTCATTCTGTAATTTTAAAATTTAGATATTACATAATTAAAAAAAATAAGTCTCTACAAGGTAGTTCTAAATATCATAGTCTGCACTGGTACTGAATTATTTATTTTTGTCAGTGTTTCCTAATGACTGGATGGACAAACTGTCACTAACCACAAGTAGCACAGTCTAACTGCTGTTAACCACATCCCTCTAGAGCAGATGGCCCAAGTTGCCCTCCACCTACACTTCACTGCATATGTCTCTGATAATCAATCAATGGAGTATTTAAAGTAGTATAACAGGGTAGGAGAATTAGTTACTAAAATTTTATGAAGTTATTTTGCAGGGAACTGTCATTTAAAAACTAATATAATTTAAAATGATTACATGCACATAACTTAAAAATTCAAACAGTAAAAAAGGATTTTTTAAAAAGTCTCTTCCCCTACCCTAACCTTTGTCTTTCTCTTCTAGAGGCAACCAGCAAATAACTATGCATGCACTCACATACCTGTTTCTCCAGAAAGAGAAAAAAAATTCTTACACAAATCAGAACATACTGTATTTAGTTCTGGACCTTGCACTTTTCAACTGATCTTTTTTCATATCCATGCACATGAATATACTTCATTTTTTAACAGCTTTATAGAATTCCTTAATCTAGTGTGGTGATAAGCTACACCAATAAACAGATGCTGAATGACTCATTTGCTTGTGCTACTGCTCTCTATGTGCTTATACTGATTTGGGGTTTGGGGATCAATAGTCTTTATTTTTTATTCATTTATTTATTTTTATTATACATACATGTGGGGTACAACATTGATTTTCAATAATCAGGTAGAATGTGTGGTGATTAGATCAGTATAGATAGCTTATTCATCATTACAATATGCAATCATTCTTTGTGTCTGTTGACCAATTCCTCATTAGCCCCCCTCCCTCTATCCCTCCGCTCCCCTTTTCCACCTCTAGTTTTCTAAAAGTTCAATGTATTACTATGATTGTTGTCTCTTTCTGTCTCTTTTTATTGTTCATTTGTTTATTTATGGATTCAGCTCCCAGTTATAAGTGAGAACATGTGGTATTTCTCTTTCTATACCTGGGTTGTTTCACTTAGGATAATTTTTTCCAGGCTTATCCACATTGTTGCAAATGGTAGAATTTCATTCTTTTTTACACAAATCAATAAATGTGATACACCACATCAACAAAGTGAAGAAGAAAAACCATATGATCATCTCAATAGATGCAGAAAAAGCATTTGACAAAATTCAACAGTACTTCATGATAAAGACTCTCAACAAAATAGTTATAGAGGGAAGGTTTCTCAACATAATAAAAGCCATGTATGATAGACCCACTGCCAATATCATCCTGAATGGGGAAAAGCTGAAAGCTTTCCCCTTAAGATGAGCTACTCAGTAGTTTTAAGAGAGGTTGATTTGAAGTTTTATCGTTTTTTGTATGCCATCTATATTAGATGTTGGTATCAAAATTGTACTGGTTTAAAAAAAAAAACCGTAATGCTTCCCTTTCCCTTTCTGTGTTTGCTGCTATTTACTTTTACTTTTAAAATATACTCTTCTGTTTTAAAAGTTATGCTACTCAAAATCAAACTCTTAAATTATTCAGTTATTCACAAATAACATAGCTAAGCAAAGTTTCTTTTTTATTGATTTGGAAATACATATTTAATTTTAAACTTACTTTTGTAATAGATTTTTTGGACATTCTTAACATCATATTGCATGACATCACATGCCAAGCAGACATCACATACCCAGCTATAAGCAGAAAAAGTGAAAGCAACCCTCAGAATCTTGGGCCAGGAGTGGTAAAAATTACTAAGAAACCAAAGCCAACAAGAATTAACATATAATGGATCAAACTGGTTAATCCATCATACACTGTGATTTGAAGAGACTTTTTAATTTGATAATAAAGTCTCATTATTCAAGAAGCGGATAGCTACAAAGAGAATAATTATAACAAGTCATGAGGTGATGCAATTTACAATTGACAAGAAAAGAATTATCTGTTAACAAGTAAAAAGCCTAAATAAGAAGAGCAAGAATCCATTGGTGATCTCCAGCCTTGTCTAGGATACACTGCAATCATTCTAGTTCATTCTTGAACTCTGGACAATAATAGTTCCAAAAGGAGAACTGAATTAAAAACCAAGCCATATTCTGGATATAAACAGTCCTTAAGTAACACTCAGATTTTGTATGCTTTATTTAATTCATTAGTTTATAATTCAGTCTTTTGAGCATATCCACCACCAAGAAGAGTTTGCTCCATATAGGCTCTTATGCCTGGTACCAAGGGCAGATGCGCCATCCACTGCAAGAGATAAAAACTTATAAACCAGTGGTTATGAGTCAGTGTGAATCAGTTCTCAGGGTTTGATGAACCTCTGGGTCCACAATTATGACTCTCTCCAACAAAGTAGATTGTACTACTGTGAGATATTTGCTGCCTCCCACTCCCAGGCCTATCCTTACTGATTCTAAGCCTTTAGAATGACAATCCACTCCACTAACAACCATACCAATGAAACATAGACGTGACCCGTGAAGGTGCTTCCAAGCAGAAGCTTTAAAAGCCACTTTGTAACTCTGCCTTCCCTCTTTCTCTTGCCACAACATCATTTCCCAAAAGGAGCAGCTCAGCTTGCATCCCAGAGGAAAGTGCTGAAGACATACATAAAATACATATAATATCAGCAAGAAAATCAACCCATCTTCTTGTAAGCCACTGAGATTTCTGAGTCATCTGTTACTGTACCATAACATAGTTTGAGCTGACAAATGCATTCACCTGTCGAATGAAAGTATAATATGACAGCAAACCCCAAAAGAAAAGGCTACTACTTACTATACAAGGGTACTTCAAAAACTTCATGGAAAAATGGAGTTAAAAGGTAATTATGAATCTTTCCATGAACTTTTTGAAGACCCCTCACATGTCTCTCATGTGCCAGGCACAATGCTAAGCCCTTTACATCTACCACTATCTAATCTTTAAAATAACTCTATGAATCACCACTTCACAGAGCTGGATCTCGGAGGGTTGAAATAAATATACCAGGTCACAAATCCAGTGTCAAAGGCAGGATTCAAACTCTAATGCCTCCTTTCTTAACCATTACAGACAATGCCTCTCTGGTTACCAGTTACTTCACAGACTAGCAGTTCACCTGCAGAGAAGGGGGCCATAGGAGTGTGTGTGCTACAAACCAGCAAGACACCAAGCTAGAATCCAGTGGTGGGGAGGGAAATTCTCTGTTAATACCGCCGCATAGGAGGAACAGGCTCTGAAGTACCAGGTTACTGTGAATATCAGTTATTCTTAAGCCTGGGTGTATAAATATTAGCATGGACCTAGTACCCACTAGTAACTGTGGCAGGTTGTTTGGGGAGCACTAAAGTTGAATAAATCATGGTCACTGAAATCAAGGAACTTAGAAACGATCCATTTGTTAAGGCCCAGAGCCACAATGTCACTCTACAAAGTGGCCTGAATCCCTAGCATTTCAGAATGGTCAATAGAAAAATAACTAAAATAATAAAATTAGTGGATTAAAAAGAATCGCTGGTGTGTAGGTGCTCAAAACAGCTTTTCAAAATCTGTTCATCATAAATTGTCACAGAAACAGAACAGTGAGCTTATTTAGTGGTAACATTGGTTACCTCTGGAGAGGAAAACTGGGGCCCAGGGAAGGAAGGAGACTTATTTTTCAACACACACTTTCTACCTTTGGAATTATATACCATGTGTACTTAATGCCTATTCAAATATTTAACAAACATTTTCTTTTTTTTTTTCCTTTTTTTTTGTCTTTTTTCGTGTCCGGCCACGGACCGCAACCCTCAGTGTTGCGCCCGTACCGGACCAGGACCGGCAACGGGATCGCAACCCTAGGTGCTGCGCCCGCCCCTCGCTCAGCCAGTGAGCGGAACCGGTCTGTATGTGGGATCCGAACCCTCGGCGGGAGCGCTGCCGCACTCCCAAGCGGCGCACTGTAGCAGTGCGCCACCGGGCCAGCCCTTAACAAACATTTTCTTTACAGAATCACAAACCATTTAATTTTTATGGAATTGAGTGGAATGGGAGATTAGCAAAGTAATGAAAGTGGTAAATTCTGTGATATCTGACATCAACAAGTTGTAAAACACTGTTGATGTGTGACAAACAGTAATATTTGTTAACAAAGGAACTACAATAGAAATACTATAAATATTTGTTTAGATATTTATTTAGATATTTACATATTTCTATATTTCTAAATATATAATTATAATATAATTAAATAATATTTATATAATTTATTTTATAATTTATCTAAATATATTTAGAAATATAGAAATAAAAACAAACTCTGCTATTAGGATCTTTATCAGCAAAAGCATAATACTGAAGGTATGGGCACTGCATTGAGTGTCAGTAGGAGAGTCAGAACCTCTCCTGTACTAGACACCAGGAAGTATACACTTCCCTGGGAGTCTTAGAGCTGGGAAGAGAAGGATTAGATTCAGAGGAAAGCTTCTGATGCCTCTCAAGGGAAAGAAGAATGGATATGTGTAAAGGTATTACATGCATAACCACCATCTCCGCCTGCCACACGTGGGCACTACCTCAACTCCAAGGTCATGCAAAATCCAGTGAGGAGACATACTACCCTCACCTTGCAGATGGGTGTTTGGCCTTCAGATGTCATTAACAAAAAAATATACAGAAATACTTTTGCTAAAAGAAGCCAGATGTCCAAGCACTTCAGCAGCAAGTTTGGCACCCCTGGGTGGTCATGCATGCCAACAACGTTTCTCATGCTTTAACAGTGTGTTTTTTAAAATTAGGTTGATTGTAACAATGGAGCTTGTTCTGGATGATGTGTTAGTAAAGGTACTCCTCTAAAAGGTATCCCCCTCCCCAAGTTCCCCCTATTGATATTATCAAGAGAGAGTATGTCTTTAGGTGTTTGCAAGTAGGAAGTTTCTGTTTTTATCAAAGGCTTTTTTCCGTGATAAAAAGCAAACACGGAGCTAATAGCAGGGGAGAGAAACTTTAAGTACAGCAAAAGACAAAGTTCTCCTCCTACCTAACCCCCCAAACGGTTATCACCCTGCAACGTGGCTTTGAAAACATCTGTGAACTCTACTGTTAAGCAGAGCTGTGAGCCACAGTGCATAAGTAGCATTCTTTCGTCGTTCAGCAGAATCAGTATTTACTAAAGCCACAGGTCTTGCAGGAGTGGTGAAAACCAAACAGAGTAGGAGAAAAACCTTGGGAAAGCTCAGATGTGCACAGTCCCAGTTCTCGGTGGCTGCGGACATCCGCTGAGGTTCACTGTGGATTTTGGTTTCCAGAGGGTTTGGGAGATTACTCCTCCCAATGTGAAACCTTGGTAAAGTCCCAGAAAACAACGGATTAGGGCATTTTCCTAATAAATCAGACAGGAGCAAGGAGGCAGGTCTAAATGAACCCTGAGCAGAGGAATTCGGCTCACCAGGGAGCCCAAGGCCCTGCAGAAAGATCTCGCTCGGCACACGAGGGTGTGGGGCGGTGGGGGTTGCGGAGGTGGGGGGGGGGGGGGCCCCGCGCAACGGCTCTGGGGGCCACCCTGCAAAAATAGCATTCTAGATAGAAAAACCTTGCAGAGAACAGAAAAGAAAAAAG